GGGGTTGGGGACAGATTTAGCTGGCTCAAAATGAGGTTCAGTGACTGGTTCTTGTGAACATGATAACGAACCTTCCTGTTCCATAAAAAACGCAGAATTTCTTTGTCGGCTGTGTATTAGCTTCTAAAGGAATACTCTGCCGGTCACGGTAGCCGAGCGGTCTAAAGCATGCAGNAATCCCACTCAGGGCATGGATGTTTAGTTTGTGTGTGTGCGTTTTTCTGTGTTTGTCTACAGGTAGAGGCCTTGCGACGAGCTGATCACCCGCCCAAGGAGTCCTACCGTATGTGTAAGATCTAGAAAAACCGAAGTGAACGGAGTTCATGGAGGTAGGCCTAGGCCCACTGGGGCTGTAGTGCCAAGAAAGAAAGAAAAAGAGAAAGGAAAAAAAGGAATACTCTAGCTCGTGGAGTTAGGGATGTTATACGTACATGCACCAGGCAACATCCTTCAGTGTCACATAAGGAACGGTTTCCCTTGTTCCTCTGTAGCTCAGGTACTTCTGTTTCATATTCCTGAGATCCACGGCTTGGTTCTCGAAACACGACCGAATATCTCAAATGGATTTATCCATGGTTTCGTTCAGTCTGTCCAGGCGAATGCTGAGGTGCTTACTTAAACGCAAGCCAAGAACCTCTTGACTTCTTTAAAAAATTCATTGTTCACAATAGTCCTCATCCTCACGTGCGATGCTATGCACTTGACATATCAGCGTAAAAGAAACAATGAAACTACAAACTGACTTAGGCCTACGCTGTAAGAAACTACTGTACTCCATTCTTTCTTCCATGGCCCCAATGCACAATGCATGTGTTCCTGCTTCTTTACTTTCCTCAAAACGTTTTTACTCGTACATTGTACCATACACTATCTTTGCAAATTTACACTTCTCTGTGATCTTCAAGCTTATTAATTACAAATATATTTCAATTCCTGCCGATCACAGTGGCCGCGCGATCTAAGGCATGGACTGCCTTCGGTTGCTCGAATGCTGGAACCGTAGATTTGAATCATACTCAAGGCATGAATGTCTGTAATGTGTGCATTTATTCTGTGTCTGTGTTGTGCACGCAATACACTACCAACAGCAAATCTGTCCAGACCTTGCAAGTAATGAAAACAAGAGGGGAGCAAATAACAGCTGTAACAGTTGATTCTTGGCTTAAGATGAGCGGTACTTGAAAACCCGGTTACAAGTGAACCATTTTTCAAGACGGTAAATGCAATCAGATTGTGTTGACAAAGACATTGAAATATTTAACGTTTTAAATAAATATCACAGTGTCCTACATGTTACATTATGCATTCTATTGTGATTCTTGAGCACACAAACTCCGACAGAATGGCTCAGAATGGGCATTCGATGGCCTCTCGTTTGCTTTGCTTGACAGAGAACATTCTTGTTAAATACGTGCAGTTGAATCGCAGTTTCCGACCCATCAACGACAAGTGTAAAAATAGGAGTGACATTTAAGAAATAAAAGTTTAGACCTACAAATCGAAAGACTAAAGAGAATTTGGAGGAAAATACTTCCACGCGTTTCTCAGTTCCTCAGCATTCGTGTACCTCACTACTAGAGGACCGGACACTATACTGCTTCAACATTATTCTTNTCAGAATGGGCATTCGATGGCCTCTCGTTTGCTTTGCTTGACAGAGAACATTCTTGTTAAATACGTGCAGTTGAATCGCAGTTTCCGACCCATCAACGACAAGTGTAAAAATAGGAGTGACATTTAATAAATAAAAGTTTAGACCTACAAATCGAAAGACTAAAGAGAATTTGGAGGAAAATACTTCCACGCGTTTCTCAGTTCCTCAGCATTCGTGTACCTCACTACTAGAGGACCGGACACTATACTGCTTCAACATTATTCTTCAATTAATAACTCCGTGGCTTTAGTCTGCAAGCGAATTATACCGACCGAGCGACCGCCGCTTGCCGGCGAAGTTAGTGCCAATCAATAACGCCTTTAAATAACTCTGCATCAATTGCACTGTTAGTTAGCAGGAAAGAAAATGTCGACTATAAACTACAATTCAGTAGACAGCACACTNGACCTACAAATCGAAAGACTAAAGAGAATTTGGAGGAAAATACTTCTACGCGTTTCTCAGTTCCTCAGCAATCGTGTACCTCACTACTAGAGAACCGGACACTATACTGCTTCAACATTATTCTTCAATTAATAACTCTGTGGCTTTAGTCTGCAAGCGAATTATACCGACCGAGCGACGGCCTCTTGCCGGCGAAGTTAGTGCCAATTAATAACGCGTTTTAATAACTCTGCATCAATTGCACTGTTAGTTAGCAGGAAAGAAGATGTCGACTATAAACTACAATTCAGTAGACAGCACACTAGGAAAGAAGTACACAAAGCCTGCCTACTGGTACACATATGTAGCTCGCACTAAACACCATGCTGCAATATAAAATGGTACCCATTGTAATCAGTTCATTATTTCTTAAACATTACGATCTTTAACCCTTTGAGTTCCAGTGGTTACTATAGGTTTCGCTTCAAAGAACCGGGATAGCGTAGTCGGTATAGCGACTGGCTAAGGCAGGACGACCGAGGGGTCGGAGATCGATTCCCGGTAGGGTCAAGAATTTTCTCCACGTCGTCCAGACCGGCTCTGGGGTCCTCCCAACCTCCTACCAAATGGGTACCGGGGATAAAGCGTCCGGGGCTTGAAGCTGACCACTCACCTCCAACTAGTGCTGATGTCAAGAAAATGTCGATGTATATATCCGTTCCCCCATACGCCTTCATGGCGTAGTGCTTCATTAGTTAAGCACAGGAACAAGTCTACCTTTACCGTTTATCAACTGCTAAAACTCTGCATTCTGCTCACAGCTTGTGCTTGTGTGTTTCGTACGGTCTCACGATAATCGAATGTTTTCTTAAACACCATTAACTGGTTGTTTTTTTAGTGGAGACGTAATGTGTTTCTTGTGCGGCAGAAATTGAATTTGGATTGGAAATCTTGACAGGTGCACAACAGTCCGCGAACTGCACATGTCTTTCAAAATTCCTTACGTGTATGGCTACATACACGTAATTGTTGTAATTGTTGTTGTATTTGTTGCAGTTGTTTGTATCTCTCTGTAATTGTTGTAGTTGTTAATCGTATTTGGTTTGTATTCACTGTGGTAGGATGTCCTTATTGTTGTGTTTTGTGTATTGTGTTTTGTTTGAACGTGTTGTCACTTAGTGTAATGTGTGTTACTTGTCTGTTGTGTC